AGGTTATATATAAAGTTGTGGAATTTTGATAGCATTCTTTAATTCACAAACATTTTAAATTTTTGTGAAGTCAAATTTATTCATATGTGCCATAGGTCATATATATAGGTCCAATTTTATTTTATTTTTCTAAATGCTTCTCTTGTTTAATAACCTTTATTAAAAACTCAATTTTTCCCGCATTAGTTCGATGTTGCCTTTGTCTTATACTAAATTTTCTAACTGTGTTGGGGTCTATTTCTGGGTCTATTTCTGGGCTGGATTGGTTTCACTGAGGATTCATGTACCAGTGCCCCATGCTTTTAGTTAATCAGTTTGTATAGTATTTCTTAATATCTAGTAAGACCTGTTCTCCCCTACACTCCCCATTGCTCTTTTTTGAGCTTTCCTGACCATTGCATGTTTATTTTTCCATTTGAATGTAAGAATAAGTAGTCTAGGTTATAGAAATAAAACCTAGTCATTTTTATTATAGTTGCATTGCATTTATTAGAGAAAATTAGTGAGTAGTTTTATTAATATAAAAGATTTATGATAGTGACTTCATCTAGGAACATGGTATATCTTTCTGCTTACTCAGGCAATCTTTAGTGTTTTTCAGTGTTTGTTTCATACAGATTTTATGTACTTTCTAAATTTATCCCTAGGTATTTACATTTTGTTGCTCTTATAAATGAAGTCTTTTCTTTCATTCACTGGAGGTTGGTTTGTACATAGGAAAGTATTGATTTCTGTGTATTTATTTTTTTATACTATTGCTTTACTGATAAGTCATAGTTTTTCTGTTGGTTTTTGTGGTTTTCTAGGTAGAGAAGAGAGAAATTTATAAAAAGCTCTGGCAGAATGTAAGGAGCATGTTTCCCAGAAGGGGTCTTTTGTTTATTTGCTTGTGGGTTATTTTTCGGTGAGAATAAGGCATAGGGATACTATAGAGGCGGCCATAACTTTGTTAAAGAATTAAAAAAAAAACCTTTGCTTAGGAAAGTCTAAACTTTTCTCAATCGTGAACTCAACTGAGACAAAAAGATACATATTCACCAAGTAGCTCCCTCCTCTGTTCCTTTTACTTTGCTCCCTTTCCACCCTCTGTAACTTATCAGTCGTTTATTAATCCTTTCATTCTTTTTGCAAAAATTAAGCAGATGCATATATTTGAATTTCTCTTTCTCACATAAGACAAAATATAATATATACACTGTGTGTGTGTGTGTGTGTGTATATGTGTGCGTGCGCATTCGCGGTCAGTGACTGTATCCAGTCCCACCTTTACCCAAGTTATTTAAAATGAGAATTCACATATCATAAAATTCACCCTTTTAAATGCGCAGTTCACTGGTGTTTTGTATCTTCACAGTGCTGTGTAACAGTCACTGCTACTTAATTCCAGAACATTTTTTGTCATTTCAAAGTGCATACCCATTAGCAGTTACTCCCCGTAGCTCCCTATAGCTGCTAATCTACTTACTGTCTCTGTGGATTTGCCTCATATAATATGTGTGGTCTTTTGTATCTGGCTTCTTTGACTAAATGTAATGTTTTCATGGTTCATACATGTCATAGCATGAATCGGTGCTTCATTCCTTCTTATAGGTGAATGATATTCCATGTGTGGAATAAAACTTTGTTTTATTCATTCATTAGTTGATGGACATATAGTATTTTTTCCATTTTTTGAATATTATGAATAATGCTGCTATGAACATTCATGTACAAGTTTTTGTGTGGACACGTTTCATTTCTCTTGGGTGTATACCTAAGAGTGGTAATTGCCGAGTCATATAGTAATTTTCTTTTTATCATTTTGAGAATCTGCCAACCATTTTCTAAAGTAACTGTGACATTTTATATTCCTTTCAGCATTGTACAAGAGTTCCAGTGTCTCCACATGCTTACTGACACTTGTTAACAAATCTTTCCCTTCACTCATGCTATAAAAGAAATTCGCCAGTGTTTTCTTCTAGTACTGTATTATTTCATTTGAAAAATTTAGGTTTCCAGTCTATTTTTATTTATTTATTTGGGTGGAATGAGATATGGATCCAATTTTATCAGCAAATAATAACCAAGTTATCTCCAAACCTTTTATTTATGAAAGACCATGTTTTCCCCAGTGATTTGAGATGCCACCTTTGTTATACTAAATTTTCATATAAACTTGCATTTATTTCCTCGGTGTCTTTATATGTTCCACTAGTCTTTGTGTTTATTTTTAAACTTTCATAAGAGAAGAAAGTTTAAAATTCCATATTAGGGTTAACTATTTTGAGTAGAAGCTATTTGTTATGCTTCTGAAACACCTTGTTTTCTTACCCCCTCTCATTTTAAGGCTATTTTATTTTCGTAAATGGAATTTGTTCATTCCATCTTCTAGTTAACTTTTGCTTTTGAATTGGTGGGACTTGTTTGTTGCTGTTTTTTTAATTATTGTTTTATGGTGACATTGGTTAACGAAATCTAGTAAGTTGCAGCTGTACACTCAAACAGTAAGGCATATATATATTTATACTGTGGATTCACCTCCCATAGTTAGATTTCTTTCTGTCACCACATATTTGACCCCCTTTACCTTGTCTACCTCCCCTCTCCCACTTACCCTCTGGTAACCACTAGTCTATAGTTCATGTCCATGAGTCTCTGTTTGTCCTGTTCATTTGTTGCTTTTAGGTTTATATCCCACATGTAATTTTCAACCTTTTATCTCTGGGTTATTTCGCTTAGCATGATTATCTCGAGGTCCACTCATGTTGTTGCAAATGGCAGTATTTCATCTCTTCTTATGGCTGAGTAATATTCCATTGTATATATGTACCACAGCTTCTTTAGCTAATCATCTATCGTACGACACTTTGGTTACTTCCATGTCCTGGCCACTGTGAATAAAGCTGCTATGAACATCGGTGTGCAAGTATCTTTTTGAATATGAGTTTTCAAGTCTTTGGGGTAAATACTCAGGAGTGGGATTGCTGGCTCATATGGTAGATCAATTCTTAGTTTTTTGAGGAACCTCCATACTGTTTTCCATAGTGGCTGCTCCAATTTGCAGTCCCACCAGCAATGTATGAGGGTTCCTTTTTCTCCATATCCTCTTTGTCCATTTTTTGATTGGATCGTTTGTTTTCTTGTTGTTATTGAGTTGTATGAGTTCTTTGTATATTTTGGATGTTAGGCCCTTATCAGAGGCATTGCTTGCAAATAGCTTTTCCCATTGAGATGGTTGTCTCTTTTCCTCATTGGTGGTTTCTTTTGCTGAGCAGAAACTTTTTAGTTTGATGTAGCGGTGAGACTTCTTTGTAATGGTGAATGAAGAGAACACATGGCACAAGAGTTTCTTGAAATTCCAATTTTGCTAGTAATCTTTCAGCCGTACTTGGGAACCACATCTGATTCTTTATCCTTTTATTCCTTTCTGCTTATTCACTTTTTGCTTCAAAGAGATGGGTTAAAAAAATTACATTTGGTTTTATTTTATCCTAATTACAGTAGATAAATAAATCTCAAATGTTTCAAAACTAATTTACAGTACCAAATTGTGTTTTATGTGAACATACATGGCCTCTGCAAAAATGACTTGTGTATCTTTAAAAAATTAGTTGGGTTGTGGGTAGAGTAGGTAGAGTTATAGGTCCCATTTATGTTACTTCATCAAATCGGGTTACTGATATGCTTATTTACAATGCATTAGTGTTAGAATATTTTGTCAACAATATAGCAGGTCATTAGTTTCTTAGAAGTTAACTGACATATTATCAATATTCTTATAGCAGAAACAAGAAGGATAAAAAGAGAGAAAAAGAAAAGGACCATATCAGTGAAAGAAGAGATAGAGAACGGTCAACCTCTACAAGAAAGAATTCTAATGACAGAGATGGGAAGGAAAAATTGGAGAAGAATAATACTTCACTTAAAGTAAGTAACAGTCATTCAGTGTTTAGGGTTTGAATAATTAATCATTGAGATTGTTCTTTATTGCATAAAAGCAGTTTTAGGCTAAAAGCTCCTTGAGGGCAACAGTGTCTTGTACATTTTGGTATTCTTTCATATGTGTTAAATTGACAATTTTTAAATTTTGAAGGGATGAGATATGAGCAAGCTAAAATTGAAATAGTTACATTCTTTAGTTTAGAGAATCATAGAAAGGCAAGGCATACAGGAAGAAAATTTTTAGCCTGTACGTGTAACATGTATTTGATTTTATGCTAAGATTTCTACTTGATGCCATTTTCCTCACTGTTTCAGCAAATTTGAAACAGTGGTTTTTTCGTTACTGGTTTTGTAACATATACTGAAATTTGGTTTATTGAATTAGAATAATTAATGAAATATTTTAAGTGTTTGTGAATTAAGTTAATTCCCTTAATAGTGGTATAAGTTGTATTTGGAAATCACTTATATGAGTCCTAGAGCCTTTATCTTACAGTTTTATTTACTCTCATACTAATAGAGGTTTATCATCATTGTCAGTAACATTGATAACATATTATCTCCAGAGCACTTAACTGTGTGCCAGGCACTGTCCCACATTTTCTCATTTAATTTTCTCTTAAGCTGAAGACAGAATTTGGACTGCCTAACCAGTCTTTGTTAGGAGGAATAGTGATTTCCTTTTCTACATTCTCTTATTTTTGCTTCTTTGGTATTTGGATTACAAAATCCCTTCTGGCATTTTGGGAGCTCTTTTTCTCTTTCGGCAGATATGTCCCACTTTTGAAGTCAGTAAGCAACATTTATTGAACAGTGTCCATCTTTTATGAGAAGTACAAGAGACATATTGATACATGTTTGCGTATCCTATTTATATGACAAGGTAGTGGGAGAAAGTATCCAGTTTTATTAATTCACAAAATATAAAGTTACATATTTTAGCCATAAGCAGATGTGGTACATGTAACTTGAGAAAATCACTAAATGTATATCTTAATATTCATTGTAGGAGAAGGAGCACAGTAAAGAACCAGAATCAAGTGTGGGCAAAGAAGTAGATGACAAGGATGCACCAAGGACTGAGGAAAACAAAGTACAGCAAAATGGGAATTGTCAGCCAAATGAAGAAAACCTTTCTACCAAAACGGAAGCAGTATAGGACCGACAAATGCACCTTTAAACACACGCTGGAATAATATCCAAAGCTTTTAATTCTTTTAACAAGATGTTAAACAGTGAAGAAATCCAGTTGAACATAAAGATATGAGCTAACAGCTTTTCTAGTTGTTAGGTGACTTTGTGGCCATCTTGTTACTGAGTAAGAAAATAAAGCATGGACATCATGAAAATAACAGATGTTACCCAAACTCATCCTCTAAAATCTGTGCATTTCCATGGTGGCTGACACACTTGTCATGTGGTTTGTTAGTGTTTGCCAAGAAACATTACAAATAAATGGGACATCAAAGATCCAAATTTGTTCTGTCCATAAAGACTGGAGATGATAAGCATTGGAGGCTCTTTTGAAAAGTGCTAGTTACTGAATTTTGTATTGTTTTACTTTTTTAAAAAATTTCAATATATACAGATTGATGATGTGCTTGAAATCGGTGCAAATATATACCCATCCTTGTAAGTACAAATATGTAAGAAGTTTTAACATTTACTTCACAAGATTTATAGTGATTGTGTTAAATTCTCACTATTGTGTTTTCTTTTTCTCACTGTTTAGGACAGCAGTTTTCTTTAAAATAGTTTTACAGATTAAAATTGCTTAAATAAGTGGATTAAAAAACAACTGACGATGCATGCTACTACTGTTCTTTCAAAAGGAAGAGCAACTGTGTTGAATACTAATAATAATGTATTAGTATTCAGTGTTTAGAATTATTGGGTTTCCCCACAAATAAGCACTTCTTTTTTAACTTTCTTGACATTTCCAAGCTTATTATGAATAATATTGCAGTGTGTGTTGTCAGCTGTAGGTGGCAAAGGTGTCATTATAAAAAGAAAACTGGGTTTTCAGAGTGGGCTATGGGAGCACAAGCTGAAGCTTTAGTGCCTTCTACAATGTGGTATACTGTTTTCTAGAATTTTATATGTGCTAATCATTCTCAGTTCATATGGAATTTAGATGGATATTCCATTCACTCCCATAAAGAAGTATGCAAGTAATATGTCAGAAGAGCTTCTTACTTAGTTCACCTAATGCGAGAAGGAAGTCCTGTTTTCAAGAATGATTTTAGAGCTTAAAACAACAGTACAGTTTTGGGACCATCAGCTTTATACTGTGATAACTGAAAATGAAGCATGTTCTTAATTTACTTAAATTGAAGCAAACCCTTTAGTTGTCTTCATTAGATCCCCTTAATTATTACCTCTCAATCATATTCTCATAAATAATGATGTGCAGAAATTAAAAGAGAATACATGAGGTGGTTTTATGTTTAAGAATATGTTTAAAATACAAGTCATCCATCATTCTTTGGTTCACTTTTTGCAGAAAGTATGCAGGTAGTAAAATGATAACAATATTTCCCCCCAAAACCATAACTCATGGTTTCGGAACTCTTCATTATTGTTATATTTCAAAAAAAGTTATACTTTTTAATTAGCATGTTATTGAAAAATCAAGTATAATTATTTTAATGCAGTCTAATACAATCAAATTACTCAGTTGCCTTACCTCATGGGAAGAGTTATGTATAGATTTAAAAAGCCGAGTAGCACAGCAGTTACTTGGTTTCGACTTGAGTTTTCTTTTAATATTAATACTATTGAAACTTAAGTATTTGGTGGAGAATGGAAAGAATTGCCCTTATTGCAAGTAATGAAGCCTGGTTTGATTATGAAGCTGCTTAATTCATGTGTCCAGAATTACTGTGGTATTTTTTTCCTTTTTAGTCACTGTACATTAAAATTTTTGAAAATGCTTTACTATGTAAAGTATAGATGGTCATTTTAATCATTCAACCACATACGGTTGGCTGGTAAAGAGCTTATTCTGATTACAAGAATGCTTGGTGCATATGGAAAGATCGTGAAGGAGTGTGTGTCTTGCATCAATAGCTGTCTTATTTATGATATGTAAGTAGAATAGAGCAAATGTTTGAATCTTTGTTATTTTTAGTACCATTTCTCTAATAAAGCTAAGTATTTTAGAGGAAAGTATTTGTTTATGCATTTCAAAACAGCATCTTAGTTTTATCCTGTTCTTTTATTTGCCATAGAAATTGTTTTGACTGAGTGCATGTTTGTGTGGTGTCTACAAAACAGTCACTTAACAGTTTGTTTTCTTGTACTCTGGACTCTTAATGTTTCTTATGTTGTAATTAACATATAATTTGAGTCCTGCTGCTAATTATTTTTCTTGCTGATTATATTTATTCAGCTTTAAAATAATGAGACACTCATTATTTTGTAAAAGTTGGGTATGAGTAGAAGTACAAGAGATCTGGAGAAAGTTGAAATCATTTTCTTAAACAGGCTATGGAAGCAAAGCTTTCTAGGGTCTAGAAATATTGGGGGGTGGTGTGTGTGTGAGTGAGACACATTTTCTTTTAGTTCACTTATAAACTGACATGTTTCCATTTGTTTATTATTTTCTTTGAAGGAATTTTTTTTCTGTAAGACCTTTTTTTCATCCCAGGTAGTTGTCAGAAAAACTTGAGGTAAGGCCAAAAAGATGCCCATTTTATTCTTGATACTTTCTGTAATTATCTTTTTTAGCTTCATCATACAGAGAGTACACTCTGTTTCTTAAATTGTAATTGCTCTTCATTCCAGACAAATTATTTTGGTCCTGTTGTTCTTGTTTTTAGCAATGCACACTGAACTGGTAATAGAAGATGGACCTTCATAAAATAGCCAGTTTCATTTGAGAAAACAAGTATACATCCTTATTTTTGCAGCCGTCTCCTTAGTTATTATTTTCTATCTAATCTGACTTACAATTGCAAACACCAGTCAGCTTGTGATTTTCTACTTAGAATTTTTTTCAAGAGGTTCAACGTATGCTATGTTTATCTTTATAAGTGTCCGAGGCTTAAATTTTGACATGCTCAGTTAAAAATAAAAATTGGCATTTAGATTCAATGGTTTTGTCAAGAAAGTAGTTTCTTGTGATAGTCATTTTCAGGACCCCCGTTCTTATATACATATGTATAGATAGACATATATATGTATGTATGTATGTTGGTATCTTAAAACCTAAAAAAAAAATGACAATTGAAATCTTTCAACTGAAGTTAGTATTCAGATTTAAAGATTATAATGTAGAGTAATAGACTTTTTAAAGTTAAAAAAAAATTAGAAATAATATGATTTGATTTAAATCTTAAGCAGTTGAATTAGCAATCAAAATGAATCCTTTTGAAGGAATGCATTGAATAACAATGTTTCAATGAGTCATTTATGTTTTCACTAAAAGGTAGTATCTGAATTTAACTGGGCAGGTTATGAAGTAGAGCCATTTCAATAAATAATTATGTTCCTTATGTGTTGAAATATATACGTATTTTAAATTTTCGCTAATTAGCATTTTCTCATGTTTAGTTACTAATTCATTTAAAATTGAATTGTTTTCAAATTTCAAAAGTTAGTGCTCTTAAAAGGGCTAAATTTTTGGAAGCAGGAGTCCAGTATAAATGTAACAAGTAATCTTTTCAAATAAAATTGACTTCCCTACTTAATCTTGGGTTTGTGGGTGAATGTTTTTCTTAAGTACATTTTTATTGGTCATTATGCCTAAAGACTGATAACATTATTTCAAAAATAAAAGCTAAAGCTATTAATGACTTTGGGGCCATATTCCATTAGGTTAGATTTAGTAACTAATTAGATTTTTTTCCATTCCATTTTAAGGTACTTTTATAGTTTCTAGCAATTTATTATAATAATTTCTCCTCAATGTAACATTCCTTAATATATTTTTAAAAGATTTGTAGTCTGTTTCCTGATTTTTAAATTTACTTGATTCTAGCTAACATTTTAATTTTGAAAACTGCCAATTTCTGGGAAACTATATTTTACAACTAATGTTTATATTTCCAGGATTGCAATGAATAATAGTTCCCTCCATTCTTAATTAACCTTTCTTTATTTGCTAGATTGATAATTTCTTAACTATCATAAGTTCAAATTCATGAAAATTATACTCAAAGAATTAGAATTGAGGTTGAGTTCTACCAGTTTAAGATTACTGGTAGGCAGAAAATTGTTGGGGAACAATCTACAAAGTTCCCTAATTTCCACAGAAGATTACATTTTGGTGTACTGTGTAGGTTTATAGGTAGTGTAGTTGAATGGTTGTTAGATATTACTCTCAGAGTAATACAACAGTGCTCTTTACATAATGCTATGAATTAAGGGAAGCGTTTAAAATGTAAACATGAAGATGCGTGGGTGGTGTATACTTACATGAGTAGGACTATACTGATGATACTAGTAAAGATGATGCTATTGTGTTGCTATATATTTTTAATAAAATGAAAATTTTAAAATCTTGCCACCCTTGAGTAGTTAATTTTACTTATTTCTGAGACATTTGCATATTTACAGCTTGTTTTTATAACTGAAAGGTAGTAATAGGCTGTTCCAGGTTTTCAAAATTACTAGCCAATTACAGTTATTTGAACATTGGTCAATCTCCATGTTCTGTGGCAATAACTTTAGTCAAAGGCTTTGCATCCTAAACATTTTGTAGTGTTCTAGTAAGTAATAGCTGCTTTTGGCAGCTCCCTTTTGTTTTCAGAAATCAGCTTCATACTAGGGTTTTTGTACAATGAAAATTGTCACTACTTGTCTTTTAACAACAATTTGAATGCCTTCTTCCATTTAACATAATTGTAGCTCCCCATTTGGCAAATTAGCTGTGCACTCAAGGTGGTCGTTTAAATGAGGCAACCTATTGGAAGTGCTGCTTTTAAGCAGTGAATCTATCAGATATGTAAACTTGAATTCTGTTTGAATTGATGGCTTGGTCCAGAGATGATGAGGCTATACAGCTGTATGCATTGATTTCTATATGTAGGTAGACCAGCTGTTTTAGCTACCTTCTGTGGTTAAAGGTCATGAGCCATTTGGTTTTTGAATGTGTTAAACTATATGTTGGGGATTGGGTGGAGGTGGGAGAGGAGAGACCTTTAAAGTGTAACCCTCACCAGTAGTGAGTTTGGGTTTCTCCAGGTGTGACCTCCACAGGAGTGCCAATTTGAAGTAGTAGCTGTATTTGACAACAGACTTCTAAACGAAATAGCTGTTAATGTATTATTTTTATTATGAATAGTTGTTAATAGTAATTACTTGAGTATAGTTACAGTATATTTAGGGTTTTTTTTTTTTTTTACATTTTTATCATTTTCTTAACATCCTAACATTTAATGAAAAGAATAATTGAGTCTTTTAAAAAGTATGCTTCTAGGGAGCATTTGAAATCTTGCTTTCCTTCAATTGTCAGTTTGGCTCAAATTCTTAAAAGACAACAAAGAACCCCTTCACCCCCGCCACAAAAAAAAAAAGGTATGCTAGTAGTCTATTTAATGTAGTAAAAGCCACAGTGTGATAGATCAGAGGTGGTAATGTATTTCCTTCTCTTCTGACCTCCAGTCTTAAATTTCTAACTGCCTTCTAATCAGTGTAGCACCTGACACAAAGCACTCGTTGAATAGTAGCTTTTATAATACTGGATATCTTGCTAGAACTGCCACCTTTCTAGTTCTTCATTGCCACTATTAATTGAGGGTGACTCCCACCCTCAATCCTATTTGCTAAGTCCTCCTAGTTCTGCATTTTCTCTGCAATATTTTAGATACAAACTTGTATCAGTCATGATTCATAGTTACATGAAAATCTGCTCTATGAGAAAGGTAATTATGATACTAGAATTAAGTCCCTTTTTCTGTTTAGTCTATTTCTGTAGTCTACAAATCTTTCAACCTTGGGCCTTTTTCCAAATTTGTTTCAATGTATGTTGCTACTTAAATTCCTTTGAATTGGTCTGTAGTTTTGTAGTACTTTTCTGGTTTTACTATAAGGGTTGTGCTGGCTGGCTTCCATAAATGTTAGAATTCTCCAATAAAGCCAACCTGAACCTGAATTTTCCTTTTGTACTATAAATTCAATAATAAAAGTAAGTTTAGTGTTATTTATGTTATTTATTCTTGACTGAGCTTTGGTGATGTGTGTCTTCAAAGGAATTTGTCCATTTTTTTCTAAGTTGTCAAATTTATCGGCATAAAGTTCATATTCTCTTATCTTTTAATATATGGTACGACCTATAGTGATATTCTCTCATTCCTAATTTTAACATGCCTTTCCTTTTTTCCTTTTTATCAGTCTAGCTAGATTTTATCAGTTTTACTTTCTTCTCAATCAGATTTTACTTTCAAGTGTTTTTTATTTTTCCACTTTTGATTTTACTGATTTCTGCTCTTATTATTTCTTCTGCTTTGGGATTAGTTTGCGCTTTTTTTCTAGTTTAAAGTGTGAGCTGGAGTCATTGACTTGAGACTTTTTTTCTAATAAAAACATTTTAGTGTAGAATTTTCTCTGAGCACTGCTTTAGCTGTATTCCAACAAATTTTAGATATGTTTTCATTTTTATTCAGTTCGAAACACTTTGTAATTTCCTATTTAGCATTGTCTTTGATCCATTGGCTATTTTTTTTTATTTTAAAATATTGTTGGCATACAATATTAGTTTCAGGTACACAACATAGTAATTTGATATTTTGTATACCTTACGATGTGAGATCCGCATGTTATTTTAAATGAGTGCCAGTGTCCAAATATTTGGGGATTTCCAAAGGTCTTTGTTACCAATTTCTAATTTAATTCCTTTGTGGTTAGGAAATGGTTTGTATGATTTGATTCCTTTTAAATTTCTAAGACTTGCTTTATAGCCCACAAATAATACATCTTTGTAAGTATTCTGTGTGCACTTGTAAAGAATGTATCTTCTGTTGGATGAAATAATCTACAATGCCCATTAGGTCCTATTGGTGGTGGTTTTCAAGTCTTCTATGTCCTTACTGATTTCCTGTCTGCTTTTTCTATCACTTATTGAGAGAAAGGTCTCGAAATCCCTGAGTAGATTGTGGCTTTGTCTATTTTTTATTTTAGTTCTACCTGGTTTTGCTTTACGTATTTTGAAGCTCTGCTATAAGGTTTATAAATATTTAGGACTGTTATGTCCTCATATTGAATTGACCTTTTTATCATTATTAAATTATTTTTATTTCTGGAAATAATCTTTGCTTTGAACTCATATTAATACTAGCAGTTCAATTAAATGAAAAAATTAACATGGTATTATCTTTTCTCATTTTTTTATTTCAGACCCGCTTGTGTTTTTAAAGTTTGCTTCTTGTGAGCAGCATATAGTTTGGTCTTGTTTTTTTTAAATCCAGTCTGACAACCTCTGCCTTGGAGTGTTTGGACCAGTCAATTACATGAAATGTGATTATTGATGTCATCGGGTTTAAGTCTACCATCTTGCTATCTGTCCTCTATCACCGTTGTTTTCATTCCATTTTTCATCTTTATCTGCCTTCTTTTGGACTAATTGAATACTTTTTATTATTCCATTTAATTATCTTTGTTGGCTTATTAGCTGTGATTTTTTGTTTTAATTTTTAAATGGTTTCAGGGTTTATTTTGTGTATTTTAATTTATCGCAGTCTACTATTAAGTAATATACCACTTCACGTATAGTTTAAGAATCTTAGTGATATTTTTTTATTTTCCCATTTCCAGGTATGTGCTAGTTTTGTCATACATTTTACTTAAAATAGGTGTTAAAATCCCCACAATGTGGTGTTATTTTTCTCTTTAAATACTCAATTTTAAGGAGATTTTAAAGAAGAAGAAAAAAAAATCTCATATTTATCCACAGATTTACAGTTGATGGTACTTTTCATTTCTTTGTGTTGATCCAGATTTCCACTTGGTACTATTTTCTTTAACGCTTCTTATAGTTCAGATCTGCTGGTGTTGGGTTCTTTTGCTTTTGTATGCTGAAGTTTTAATTTCAACTTAATATTTTAAAGACATTTTTGCTGCCTACAGACTTTACATTGGGCGTTTTTTGTGTTTTTTCCCCCTATCTTTGATCCGCCCCTCCCGCCCAATTCCACTCCTGACCTACGGATGTTGCTGTCTCCCCTTAACAACTGGATCTCTGAAGGTGGGGCATCTCTTCCCAAGTGGTTGCGGCGTGCACCCAGGGCCTGGCACACTCGGGGTATAGTCTGTGGCTCCACCTGGGGTGCGAACCCAGAACTTTGTGTGTGTAAAGCAGATGTACTAACCACTACACTCCCCCGCCCAATTCCAATCCTGACCTACGGATGTTGCTGTCTCCCCTTAAGAACTGGATCTCTGAAGGTGGGGCATCTCTTCCCAAGTGGTTGCGGCGTGCACCCAGGGCCTGGCACACTCGGGGTATAGTCTGTGGCTCCACCTGGGGTGCGAACCCAGAACTTTGTGTGTGTAAAGCAGATGTACTAACCACTACACTATGGAGCCACCCCTGTTTTGTGTTATTTTATTTTATTTTTTTCTTCTTCTTTCAGTGCTTTCGAGATGTGGCTCTACTGTCCTTTGGTTTACTTTGTTCCCAACAAGATGTCTGCTATCATTTTTATCATTGTTCCTCTACACAGAATGTGACATTTTCCTTGTGGTCACTTTT